GAACCATCGAGCGCATAGTGAGGGAGAAAATCACCTATCGAGTAGTCACCTGCGATGTCCACTTGTCCCGTGGGTTATCTGTTCAAACATAATCTCTATAATGGATATTGCAATGCCGTGGTTTGAGTCCAAATCTTAATGCATTCACCACCTCTCTGATTCACAAGTGCAGACAGCGGAATCTGATGCAACTCAAGCTCAAATGGGACGGCAGCAGTGGAAAAAGCCTGAGGATGTTGCTTGTTGGACTCAAGAACGACAGATGATCACAACTTACATGAACAAATCCTAGGCTGTGCAAGGATGCCTAACAGTACTTGAAACAGACCCCACGCTAAACCGATATAAATCAAGGTCTACAGACTCTGTAGTTGATCCTTTTGCACTGCACTTTCAACCCAACTACGACACTTGGCGGCGTCATCTAAACCCCGGCGATCCGGATACTACTCCGATTCTTTGCATAAATTAAAAATAGCTAAAGCGCTCAGAGGCTTAAGCTGCTGGCTAGTTAGCATCTGCCTCTAGCGGTCACGGTTTTGATTCCCAGTAGGGGACAGAGGGAATGCGCACCACTGACAAACCACAATAGGGCGAAACGCGTCTGAGGCTTTTCCGGACTATGCTGCGCTATGTAGCTTGTGAAGTACTGGGATGAAAACCTTATGAAGATCACAACTAAAAAGCTTGCTACAAATGAGTAATATAAAAGGGAAACTCATGGAAGACAAATCCCCACTTAAGTCTTTCAAAGAGTAATCTGCCGCATTCTGATCTATCAAGCTATTTTCAATGGCAGACAATCACGAAACATATCGCGGAAAGTTAACATCGCCCCAATCAGCGTCGAATGTCCATCCGCTGAAGCACGTCACTAATCGGTCCGACGGAGCGCAAAATTGGCAACTGACTAGTAGTAGCAACGACGAAGCCCATAATAACTCGCGCGAATTTGAATCGCTAAAGACACAAAAATCGCATTGCAATGCACCTCGTACGAGAGCATAGCAATTAGTTTCCGGATACGCAGTATACTGCTTAGTTGCATATGATCTGGCAAGAAAAAAGTGAACAATATTCCAGTCTGAACACTGTTAAGTGCTTTGAACTTACAGAACCCTATGTCAGCAGCCCAGACCAGCTCATATGTCATTAAGTCGACATATTCTGAGTGGTGTGCATGAGTCGCAACTAAGCGATCATGTTGCTGCGTGTTAGGGTGGACCTAAGCTTGTGCCAGGGAGTTTATTACCTGAAGTCAAACATATTTCTTTACATAGAGACCTGTTGCTCTCTAATCGTCTCTGTCCTGGTTACGACGTTCCGTCATGTCCTATTTGTTAGCACAGTGCACTACCAGTGTGACCAATCATGCCTAGCCAACCATGACGAGTCACTATTGCGTTGTAAGAACGCGGTCCGTAGCTTAAATGTAACAACCTAGTTTGTGATTCGACGGTCCGGGTTGGAGCCTGCGTAGAAACATGTCGGCCCTCGCAGTATCCTTAGACCACATACGACCGATGGTGGTTGCGCGGCAGTGAGTAATCGGTATTGCGTACCGGTGTACTACTGACGTCCTTCTTCTTTTTCTTCTTCTTGTAAGGAAGCAGAGCACATGTGTCCACTCGGTGCAGTTCCCGAACAGCTAGTTCAGCTACTAATTTGATCCGCCTCACTCTCGTCGAGTTAGTGCTAACGCAACTCACTCGAAGTTGGTTCGACAGATCACAAGACAGGGCACGATTGTGGCGCGTTTCCTGTCCTCTTCTAGCAGGGAGTGGAACCGACAAATTCGCTTGGGGCTTGAGTGACACGTAAAATCTACCGGGTCCAACAAAGAAAGGAAGTCGAGACGTTAACTTCGGCACTATTCAAACAGGAATCAAAATACAATATGTACTTCTCTCGGCAATAGCCGCTGACTTTTGGAACGACTGGCCTTCACAATGTCCAAATGCAATGTAAACAGTACTTGTCATCGTACATGAAGAGACACATAATACTGAAACCACAATCGGACCTTCCTTCTATTAGGTCCCTTAACTCTTGGTTCCTTGGTTCGCTACACAGCGTATGAAAGGATACGCGACGGGCTGGGCCTTCGGAGTGGCTTCGCTCAGTCAAACAGTGGGAGTGGGAGGGACATTCAAGTTCGAGGTGTGTGTGGAATGGGTGATCTGGACGGGTTGCATAATGTGCGTCTACGGTTTCCACAGTGGGCGCTGGGGTGAATCCATGTCAACATGGATATAAGATCACATGGAGGATAACCGGTAAGACGGAGTTCATCAGATGTGGCAGGCGTCTGCTTTGGTCCTCCAGGGTGAGATCCCGACATAATATTTAAATCGGTTGCCATGTGACGTAATTATAAACCACAGAGTGGATGGGCGAATAGGTGGTAAGAGTCCAGAGCCTAATCGTGCTATCCATCACGCAAACGACCGCACAATTATGTCTCGAGGACATTTAACTATGGAACATAGACTGGGTAAACAAATGGTTGATGAGAATCCCCCTATTCATCTTGTGAATCCGCATGGTAATTTTTCTACCTGCAGGGAGTGTTCCGTTAAAGTTGATATGTTGCTGCGGTCATCTGACGGCTATTTCATTTGTGTCTCGGTACACAATGATAAGAGTCCCCGCGATCAACTATGACATCCGATTCTGTATGTCAAAAATTAGGCTACATGGCGATTTCGATAACGTGAATGGAAAGAATCGCGTCACTCTCTGTGGGC